TTCTAAATATATGCCTATTTGTTCATAAAATAGGCACATATTAGCTTCGTTATCTTATGACTCAGTCATAACACTTGTATGTAGGATATAGTTCATTGTTGGTGATGGTAGATATAAATTACATTTCAAATAGTTTTGACAATTTTGCTATTTAAGTTAAAATATGGTTGGACTTAATTAGATTGTCATTTTAACTCTGAAGGAGGGCTGTCAAACATTTTATTTTAGTCTCAGTTCTAGTATTTGCTTGTTCTGTGGTTCCTCTGTAAGCCTCTTGTAAGGCTATTTGTCTGCTTTGTGGGTTTAGTTTAATTAAGCCTAGACAGTACACTCATAGAATCCAGCAAACACGGGATATCACTAACAGATAAAAGAGACCCTTTTGGCTATCCTTTGGGGATGGGCACTGCCTACTTTTTCCTGAGGACATCTGTGCTGCTCTAGGCCAGTGGGCTAGAGTGCAGGACCATTCATTCTGTATATAAAATATTGAGCTTAATGCCTTTTAAATTAAATCATAGATGCCCTCATTTTTTTCTTCTGCATTGCAAGTGGATCGCCTTGCACTATCCTTGGAGTACACCCAACTTCCCCTGGTATCTAGAGATCTCCTTATGAAATTATTGGTCCAGGGAACAAACCTCATATAAGCAAGGATGTTTCCACATTAAAAAGACCTGCTCATTTCAGTTGCTCAGCTATTTTATAGAAAATGAAATGACTTTGAAATGAATTGTCTTTATAGACATCCATAATTTGCAAGCAAAATCCTCACTCTACAAAATGTGAAATGTTCTAAGCAACAGCTGTGAGCATTTCAAACGTGCACTACTTTTTAACGGTTCAACTGTTGCCAAGGGAAATTGAGTTGGCTTCAAAATCTTTCTTCGTTTTAATTTTGCATTTACCAATCAGACATTGAGGAAACAGGCTCTGCTTGGCTAGGATATTAAACATTTCTGAAGACCGATGTATGGGAATATAAGTTACTTGAAGGCAGGAACTAGACAGAAATTCTATACAATTATGCAGCCTAGGGTAATGAACTTTATTAGAGCAAAAATGGACACTCAGCCAGTCAGCTGCTGATTGTCTGGAGTCAACAGGGGAGCCTGCTTTCATTTAAGCTATCTTTCTGTGTTTCCCATATCAGTTCAGGGCAGTAACATTCGCTTTCATAGCACAGAATTTATTTTTCTACCCAAGTGGATAGAAATTTGCAACAGATGACATAACCAAGAAACTCAAATGCATTGTTATCACTTGTGCATATGATAGATCTTTATATATGTATATTCCCTAACTGTATAGAATATGTGACATGATACTGAGAGCGAAAAGTAGGCTACAGGATGAAGCATTCTAGTTTGAAAGAGAATATGTAATGATATATATATGTAATACAAAATAATAAAAAATACTAACAGTACAACAAAATGGTAGTGGTTAGCTCGGGTTGATGGATGAGTATTACTTCTTTTGTATGTCCCCTCCTAGTTTTCCAAATTTTGAGCAACTGGTAGTTTGATGCTTGCAGTTAGTTATTAAGGATTTTTTCTTTCCTATAACAAATGTATGCATCTTGCATTCAAATTGACTGACAGTCTAAGAATATTCTCTGGAAATGTACCATTTGGCCTAGGGCTCACCGAAGATGCAAAACCACACATTAAAGTATTTTAGTACTCGTTCTAGATAGAGGTAAGTCATCTCTATAAACTCAAACTGTCAATAAAATTTGTCAAGTGGGGGCTGGGTATATTTCACAGCCCAGAAACAGCGAATGCGGGTAATCTGAATGCGAGGCTGCAGTCTGGTGGTGACAGCGTTCCCATCTGCACAAGTTACCGGAGCGCTGGCCTCTACCGAGATCAAGGAGCTGATGCTCAGAACTGACTTTTTTTTTTGGGGGGGGGGTTAGGTGAGAGCCCAAACCGTGGCCAGGCCTCCCACCGGCTGAGCAGAGGCCACAGGGGGTTTTTCGGCCAGTTTCCAGGGCCGCGACAAGAGCGGCATAGGGACTGGCGGGGTCCGTGCTGAGCGGAGCTCTGCGGGCTGAACCGTGAGGCACCGGGGCTGCTGCCCTGTGGCCCTCGGAATCCCCAGCGAAAGACGCTCG